GTGCTGTGGTATCTTAGCTCACAGCAACCTCAAACTCTTGGGCTCAAGTCATTCTCTTGCCTCAGCCTTCCAAGTAGCTGGGACTACAGGCACCCGCCACAACACCCGGCTATTTTTCAGAGATGGGGCCTTGCTCTTGAACTTGGGAGCTCAGGCAGTCTACCTGCCTCAGCCTCCCAAGTGTTGGAATTACAGGTGTGAGCCCCTGTGCTTGTCTCCCAGACTAGACTTTCTGTTCTGTTCCAACTATTCGTCTGTATAGTAGCACCTCCATAGTTGACCACCTCCCTATATCGACCACCTCCTTAATTATTTCACAGACCACACATATACCATATGTACTTATCAGTACAGCTGGCCTAGTTCCTTATTTTAGCCACCTGCGTATGTTGACTAAGTATGTTTGAAGTCTGAGTGTTATAAATTGTAATAGTAAAAACCTAGGGCAGCTATTGCATTCTTTGTAATTTAGGGTTATCTCCTGCTCTTGGCTTTAAAGAAAAAAAAAAACTACACAGTAATGTACAGATACATTGTTATGGCAGTAATTTAAGCAATGCAAACAAGCCAGATTCCTCTCTATCCTTTTCCTCTCATGTATTCCCTCTCTAGAGGGAACTACCATTAACTAGTTTCTCTCTTAATAGAATAAACTGAAGCTGAAGATAATTATTGGATACTTTTGAGTCACCTTAAAAATTTGTTTTTTTTTTCCCTAGGTATTAACCAAAATGTTGAATTTAGGGGGCAGTATGGTATCTATACAAATATATAGTATATAGTTTAATGATTGGAGTACAGGTTAAAAGTGCTCTTAATTTCTTTGCTGTTGACCTCAATAATTTTCTTTGAAAATTTGATTTTCTTTACTTTGAATTTTAGATCATACTAGCTTTTATAAGTAATAAGTGGCCCATATAGGAACCTAGGGACACTTAGGAATAACCTATAAGAGCACCCTGACTTTGAACTAACTATATGTTTGTATTGGAGGTAATTAAATAGCAGTATCATTGTCTGTGTGTGTGTGTTTCTGTGTGTTTCTGTGTTTAGGTGGTATAAGTTAGCCATGTGGGTAAAGTTAAAACCTGTGTGCTTGGCTACTCTGTTTACCAGTTCTAGGGCCAAAAGAGTCGTGAGAAGCCTGGCACGTTGGAGGGATATATTTGTCTTCTCAGCTTTACTTTAGGTAATTGGATTCTACCTAGAATTCTCATCAGACTGTTCATTAGTTTTCTGTTCTTTTGTATGGCATGAAAGAATGGGTATAAATTTTTTAATTAGGCCAGAGAAATTGAGCCTATTTGATCTTCATATTATCTTAAGTTTATTGATATATGCAGTATAGGAAAGGATATATAAGAAGACATGGTATAGCTCTTGCTGTGTGGGTGATTA